CCTATGTAATACTTTCAACAATAAATCTTTTAAAAATAATAATAATTAAGAAATAAAACGTTAACGATCCCCCCAATAGAAGTCTACATGCAGCTGAATGAAAGCCGGCAACTCTACCTTCCTGCCCGTAAGCCCCGGCCCCTCTGACCCCAGGTCCCGCGTCCGCTGACCGGCTGGGCCTGTGAGGGTTGGATAAGGCTGAGGTCCTGTGGGGGTGGCTTTCCATGGCTGTCCTGACAGCTCTGGCTTTTCTCGGGGGGCTCCCCAGGGCGGCGAAGAGGAAACACATTCTTCACCCCCCAAAGGAGAGAGGCCCCCCCCTCCGTCATCGAGGGACTGCCCCGCGGCCAGGGGAGCGCCGTGAGGCAAATAGGTTTCACCTGCGTGGCCTCGCATCGGTCTCCTCTGCTTATAAAAATATTATCCGTTGACCGCTCTTTGCTCTGCAGACTCTTGGAATTGTCTGAGACGTGGACCCTGGGTGAGTGAGACAGTAAAGAGAAGGAGAAGTGGATGGTGCCGCTCCATTCCCCTGCACAGGGGAGGGGCGGCCAGGGCAGGAGGGCCCCTCGCAGCGGCCCTGGGACCCCTGTCGTGACCCCCCGTCAGGTGGCACCACTCCCCGTCCTGGGGACAGAGCACAGCCCAGCCCCAGCCTGAGCGGGACCACCCAGCCGCCGCCCGGAATCCGGGACGGATCCCCCCCTCTGTGAGCGTGGGACCGGGTGGCTGAGCCCCGGCTTCCCAGGAGACAGACCGGTGCCCCCCAGGGACGGGGACGCGCGTCACATCCGTGGGTGCTCCTGGTCCCGGCAGGCACTCCCTGCCTGTGGGTGGGCCTGATGCTGCCGGGTTTACCTGCTCAGATCCAGACCCTGGAAAAGGCTCCGAAATCTAAAAATAAAATCATGTTAACAGGCTCTCGACAAGGCCCTGGGGCGATCCCTATTGATTTCAGCTTCACACAGACTTTGATTTCAAAAAAAAAAATAAAAGCTTCTGGCAAATCGCTCCTGTTTCAGGCGTGTTTTGTCGGAGTCTCTGTCCCTGCCCGTGGATCACGCGTGTCTTCCGGCGCAGGCGCCAGCGGTCATTGAACGTGTTGCTTTCTTTGCGTACGTGTCTCCCCTTGGTGTGTCCTCAGCCAGAAGATCTCGAAAGGGCACATGTGATGTGCTAATTACCCCCCCCCCCCATGTGCAATTAGCAAGAAGCTCACAGTGTAAATAAACCCAAAGCTACGGCAACGGTAGCGACACAGTCACAGTCCTGGAACCGGGTAGTGGATGTGCGGGCGGGCGTTCACTCGGCAGTGATTTCAATTCTTTTTTTTTTTTTTAATGTTTACGATCAAATGATGGCAAACAAAAGCCCTAGGAGACAAACCCGTGGTCCCACATCCCCCCCTCGCTCCGTGGGGCGTGTGTGGCCCGTTCCATCCATTGCTCATCGCCTTCGTCATCTTGATCCTCAAGGCCTTGAGCTCTCCTGGCGCTGGCGGCCGCGTCAGCTGTCCTTTAAGGTTAAACAAATGTCCTGGGTCCGGGTTGCTGGGCCCCTCGGGGTCTCAGGAGCCCTGTCTGTCTGGTGCAAACGCGGAGACAGCCTGGGTTCCGCCTCAGGAGGGACTCGGGGGGCGCAGGCAGCCCGGAGCCTTCTGAGAGTGGGCTGGTCATGGAGGGGCTGGGGAGGGGTGTCACCTGGCTTTTTATTTTATATACTAGAGGCCCGGCGCATGAATTCATGCACGGGTGGGGTCTGGCCGGCCCGCCCCATCTGGGCCGATCGGCCCGGTCGGCTGGGGGAGGAAACAGGGGAGGTTGGTGGGCCGGCTCTGCCCGGAATCAGGGTGTGGAGGGCCAACTAGGGGCAGGGACCCCGGGCAGTTGGTGGGCCGGTCCCACCCCCTGGTCAAACTCCAGTCAAACTCCCAGTCGAGGGGACAATTTGCATATTACCCTTTTATTATATAGGATATCTTTATTGATTTCAGAGAGAGGAAGGAAGAGGGAGAGTGATAGAAACATCCATGATGAGAGAGAACCACGGATCGGCTGCCCCCTGCAACTCCCCCACTGGGGATCGAGCCCGCAACCCGGGCCTGTGCCCTGACCGGGAATCGAACCCTGACCTCCTGGTTCCTAGGTCGACGCTCAATCCCTGAGCCAAGCCGGCGGCCCGGCTCACCTGGCTGCTAAGGACACGTTCCAGGTGGGAGGCAGGATGGGACACGCTTGCAGCCACCGTTTCTGGAGCCCCGGGCTTCCGACCTCGGCGCTGTCCGCATGTTTTATTCAACGTGCATCTCATTGTTTTAATAAGTCACGGGTAGCACACCCCGTTCCCTCCCTGCAAAGCCCGCCCGTCGCCGCCTCGGACCGCCCGAGACTCCCTCTCCGCGCGGAATGCAAATGCCGGTGACTCGTAAACGGTGCGATGTACACGCACGTGCTTCCAGCTTTTTAATCATTTTTTAATTTCACTTTTAAATTGCCGCTGACATTCGAGGCTGCTTTACATTCCCGCCGGGTGCACGGCGCCGTCTTTCGAAGTTTGGTGACGCTGAAGGGTTCTCTCCGGGGTTGAAAACTGTAATTAAAACAAAAAAAAAACAACAAAAAACAACCTTCGTGTCTGCCTCTCAAATGATGAGGACAAGCGCCCGCCCACCGCGGCCACCACGGTTTTCCATTGTGTCCACCGGGTCCAGGGGAGGCCTTTTCCTTCACGGGGCTCCTTTCACGATCCGTGGGAGGATGTGAGAGAGACACATCGACTGGTTGCCTCCCGCACGTGCCCCCACCGGGGCCGGGGATCGAACCTGCAACCGAGGTACGTGCCCTTGACCGGGAATCGAACCCGTGTGGGTGCTCTAGCCACTGAGCTAACTGGCCAGGGCCTGGCGGCCACCGGCTCCAGGTCCCGCTTCTCTTTCACTTGAATGTAAGAGTCTGTCCCTTAGCCCAGAACCTTCCGAAAGGGGTCCGGCGGCCGCGGGTAAGTGAGGAAATGAAAGACTGCCAGGTGGGGGCACGCGTCACTCGGGATATTTTCAAGCCCAGATGTGACCCAGTTTCGTTCCCCAACGATGAGTTTTCTTAAAAAAAAAAAAAATGATGCCTCCAGCCCGGCGGCGGGGCTCAGTGGCTGAGCATCGACCTAGGAACCAGGAGGCCACAGTTCGATTCCCGGTCAGGGCACAGGCCCGGGTTGCGGGCTCCATCCCTGGTAGGGAGCGGGCAGGAGGCAGCCAATCCAAGGTTCTCTCATCATTGATGTTTCTTTCTCCCTCTCCCTCTCCCTTCCTCTCTGAAATCAATGCAAATATATTTTTTTAAAAAAGAAGAAAAAATGATGCCTCCACGTGGGTGGGGGGCGGGGAGGCGAGTCCCGAGTGTGCACAACCTTCATCCAAAATGCAGACGCCCCCATAAACCAGGGGCAACTCTGCAGGGAGCATGAAAAGGGGCGGGGCTTAACCAAGGGGCGGGGCTTAACCAAGGGCGGGGCGGGGCCTCACGTGCCATCAGGGGACCTAGTGGCGGGGCCTGCTGTCATTTCTTCCCATCGGCGTTGCTTGGGGTTTTGGTTTCCCCACGTGTTCGTGGGAGCGGCACCCCCATCAGCCCCTGGGTTCCTTCTGGGCGAAATCAATACAATGTCACAGGAACCGGCTTGTCAGAGTGTGTCCGCCGGGACCGTGGACAGGTGCCGCGCCGTCCCCCCTCCTCCCCTCCTCCCCTCCGCGCGGGGATGGAGCGGTTGCCATGGCAGCCGCCGCACGTGGAGAACTCCCGCTTGTCGCAGCGGCTGCCCTGGAATCTGACAGACTTCACACCGTCTCTAGGAATTTATAATTTTAGCCTTAAATCAGCAGGTTCTGTGCGGTGATTAAAAATGTTCAAATTTATGCGCGGCCCTTCCGCTCAAAGCCTGGAACCCCCCTACCTCCCCCCCACCAACAGCAAGGAGGCGTAAACACGGCTTAGACACAAAGGCCGAGTTTGGGGGGGGGTCCCAGGTGCTGCTGCTAAGGGGATGTTTGGGGGTGTTTTCCCACGTGGGTGTGGCTCCCTCCCGGGGACAGGAGGCCTCGGAGAGGAAAACTCCCGGCTGAGACCAGGAAATGCCCTCCCAGCTCTGCCCCTCGGGGAAGGGTGGCATTGCTCCCCGTTCTCCCAGCGCCCCCGGCCCCCCCCAGACCCCCATCCAGGAGCCTGAGTGAGCCACGGGCTCGCCCTTCATTCCTGCGGGAGGGACACCCCCTGGGAATGTGGTTAACACAGCATCAGGGACAACAGCCGCGTCCCTAAGAAAAGCAGCGCTGCCCGGCTCGGGTGGCTCAATGGTTGAGCATCAGTCCCTGAACCAAGTGGTCGCCGGCTCGATCGCCAGCAGGGGGCGCGCAGGAGGCAGCCCACCTAAGTCTCAGGCTCATGGAGGTCTCTCTCTCTCTCCCTCTCCTTTGCTCTCTCTATAAAGTCAATAAAAATATGTATTTTTTTAAGTGAGAAGGTGGGGAGCCCACGCCCGCTCGGAGGACGTCCAGGCGGTTCCCGTGACCCCGCGGGGCAGCTCCACGAGGGGTTCCCGCCGTCACAGGCCACGCGGTGTGTGTCCGCCTTCCTCGCCTCTCCCGGGCTGTCTTTGTTCTCCGGGGGTTTACCGCCCAGAGGACCCGTCCCTCGGCGGGCGGCTCTCCCTCCGTAAATGCTGGCGGACGATCCTGCTCGGATATGAGTGTGGAATCGAGGAGGTGGGGTCTCCGGACGTCCCAGGTCCCGAGGCCGCCGTTGGGCCACGGGGCGATGTGCTGTGTGTGTGTGATTTCCAAGCGGCTTCAAAACATGTTGTTTATTGTTTCAGGGCCCAAGGATCCGCGCCCCCCTCCCCTCCCCTCCCCCGGCGCCGCCTGGCAGTCCAGCCAACGCCAAACCTGCATAATTAATTTGTTCTCAGCGTTGCTCACCTGCATCCTGCATCCGTGCCCATCACCTCCTGGGAGGCAATTAATCATCCACTTGGCAGCGTGGCACCAGCTCGATAAGGTGGCCTCGCGCCACGCGGGCGGGCTCGGTCCTCGAAGGTGCCAGGAACCGCCTTCGAAGCGATGCCAGGCGTTCAAGGGCGGCATTTCCCCCGGCATTTCTCTTGGGGGGCGGCGGCGGCGGGGGGACATTAACAGCTTTTTAATTTTGATTGTTAAGTAGCCAATCGCGTTTCCCTCCCAGTGGCAGAGGCTCCCCTCCATCCTCCCTCTTCTGATGAAGAAAGATGTCTCTCTCGCCGCCTCTTTACTCGCAGGAGGCGAGGAGCAGGTGCTCCAAGCCGCGTCCCCAAAAGAACAGCGCGTTCCCGGCACAGAGAGTCCCTCCCGCGAGGACACGGAGCGTGAGCCCTGGCACCGCCTCCCGATGGCAGAGGAGGGACAGACAGCCCTTCAGGAGCAGGAGAGCCGCGCACTTGGCCGCGGCGCCTGGCAGCTGCCCAGGGCCGGCCCTGATCACGGGGCTGAAGTCGGACTGAAAACACTCCGTCTCCGTTACCCGTCCCTCGAGCTGGGGTCTGGGGCTCCGTGTGCAAATGCAGCCCAGCCCGGCCGGCGAGACTCAGGGGCTGAGCATCCACCTATGAACCAGGAGGTCAGGGTTCCATTCCTGCTCAGGGCACAGGCCCGGGGTGCGGGCTCGATCTCCAGTAGGGGGCGTGCAGGAGGCCGCCGATCCATGATTCTCTCTCATCATGGATGTTTCCTTCTCTCTCCCTCTCCCTTCCTCTCTGAAATCAATATTAAGAAAAGAAAGAAAGAAAATGTAGCACCAACTTCTCCTTGCAGGGCCCTGGCCGGTGTGCTCAGTGGCTAGAGCGTCGGTCCACGCACCAAAGAGTCTCAGGTTCGATTCCAGGTCACGGGCACGCACCTCCGTGGCGGCTTCCATCCCCGGGCCTGGTTGGGGCACGGACGTGCGGGAGGCCACCAATCGGAGAGAGAAACATTGACGTGTGAGAGACACATCGACTGGTTGCCTCCCACACATCCATCGGCGCTCCCTCCGACATCCCATGTCTGTGCCCCCCTGGACGATGGTTCTTCCCCCCGAGCACCTGCTCCTGCTCCTGTGGTTTTCAGGAGAACCAGGCCCGTCCTTCCTCCCAGTGGGGAATCCCTCACGTGGTGCCGGTCAGCACACGCACACACGCACACACACACGCACACACACACGCACACGCACACACGACACACACGCACACACACACGCACACGCACACACACACACACACGCGCGCACACACACACACACAGGCACACACGCACACACACACGCACCAGCTTACAGCACGTGTCTGATCCCTGTGAAAAGCGGGGCTTCTGGCACATGAATAACACGGAAGTCGGCGTGTAATGCCTTTGATCCCTCCGAGCCTTTATCAAAGGAAGATAAAATACACCGACGGGCACCCTCTGAGAACAGCGACCTCCCTGAACCCCGCGTCCTCGGAACAGCTTGACTCACGATGGAGAGGAGCGGCTTTGTCTGCTGTGAGGAAGGGAAAGTAGGGCAGCCGTGGGAGATGATTCTGCATCGCCCGGCTCGGGGCGAGGTTCCCTCCGGCGTTTTGTGAAATGGGACACGGTGTGCCCCTGCCAGGGCCCTTTCACGGAGGGATCAGGCCACATGCAGACACGGGCATCTGAAGCGATTGTGAGCCAGTTCGTTCTTGTAGGAACATGGAATCCAGCCCTGTCAGCGCGACTCAGTGGTTGAGCAAGCGTCCACCTAGGAGCCAGGAGGTCAGGGTTCGATTCCCGGTCAAGGGCACAGGCCCAGGTTGTGGGCTCCATCCCCAGTGGGGGGAGTGCAGGAGGCAGCCGGTCCACGATTCTCTCTCATCATTAATGTCTCTCTCTCTCTCTCTCTCTCTCTCTCTCTCTCTCTCTCTCCCTCTCCCCATCTCTCCCCTCCCACCTTCCTCTGTCTCTAAAATCGACTTTAAAAAAGAAAGACACACAGGATTTGATCCTATGTTTTCAGAACTGTCACGCTTTCTAGCTTAACGCACTGTAAATACTTTGGAAACAAACTCAGCCCGTAGCCATGATCCCTTTAAACACCACACTTCGCTCAAGAGCTGATGATACTCACAGTCCAGCGGTCGGGTATTAGATGGCGGCGGCGGTGAGGACTCGCCCCGTTCTGTCTTCTTCATTCGCCAGCCTTGGGGTTTTTCCTTTGGACGAGAGAAACAAGGGCCTCGAGGGTATTTCTCGGGCAACGTCGTCCGTGAGAACCACGACTTCCCACCCTCAAGGCCACCCTTGATGTGCCTCTGCTCCCCCCTCAAATAGGGGTGGCTTTCCGGCTCCCGATGACTTACTTCTATTTGCTTTTCATTTCTTCACGCCTCGGCACCCACGGCATCGCACGCCGTCACGTATGGATTGGAGCTCAGTGACGGGGAGGTGCCCCGGCGCGTCTGATCGCCTGCGTCGGGCGAGGTTATTAAAACGGTGCAAATATAAATCGCCATAGCAACAGCAGCATCCGTTCCTGGCCTGTTTCATAATCTCAGGCCCGGAGAAAAGGGTGCAGGCTGAGCAGGGAGGCAGCGTGAACACAGCTGCTGAGTCATGGGCCGTAGAAACCCATCACGCTGATGGGCCGAGTCCTGGGACGGTCCGGAGGGACGGGCCTGGGCCTGCCTTCCTTCCTTCCTCTCTCTCTCTCTCTTTCTCTCTCTCTCTCTCTCTCTCTCTCTTTCTTTTAATGAATGCATTGTTATTTGTTTCAGAGAGGAAGGGAGAGGGAGAGAGAGATAGAAACATCAATGATGAGAGAGAATCATGGATCAGCTGCCTCCTGTACATCCCCTACTGGGGATGGAGCCTGCAACCCAGGCCTGTGCCCTGATGGGGAATTGAACCATCACCTCCTGGTTCATAGGTTGACGCTCAACCACTGAGCCACACTGGCCGGGGTCCAAACCGGTTTCCCTCCTGCTCTTCCTCCACTCCCTGAACTCCGGCCACCATGGTCCTTGACAACCCCAAGTGCCACCTCTCCTGTCCCCCCCACAACCTTTGAAGCCACAGTTATCTGTACCTGGGACCTTCCCCCCCAGACCTCCTCCTACTCGACCTCCTCTCCTTCCTCCTCCTCCCCCTCTTCCCTCTTCTCTCTCTCTCTCATCCTCCCTCTTTCTCTCTCCCCGAGGTGCACATAGTCCTTGAAGAAGTGCCCACACAGTTCTGCCTTAGAAATTAACAAAGAATCGAGGACTGCTGGCCTCCCTTCGCTCTCAGCCCAGAGGACATGCCTTGGCTGCACTCCCAGGCGGAGATAAAGACGGGAGCTTTGTCATTTCTCTGAGGCTGAAGGAATTGGAACGCAGAGCTAGAATCTGGCTAAATGCTGCACTGTGTTAAGTAAGAATTAATAATAAGTTTTATTGGACCCATCAGGGGAGTGTGGCAAGTGGAATAGTTCTAACGGCTTCTACTAGGGATGATACAGGAGATGCCAGATAGTGATGGTGATGATGATGGTGATGGTGATGGTGATGGTGATGATGGTGCTGTCATGGTGATGATGGTGATGGTGATGATGGTGATGATGGTGATGGTGATGGTGATGATGGTGCTGTCATGGGGATGATGGTGATGGTGATGATGGTGATGATGGTGATGGTGATGGTGATGATGGTGCTGTCATGGGGATGATGGTGATGGTGATGATGGTGATGATGGTGATGGTGATGGTGATGATGGTGCTGTCATGGGGATGATGGTGATGGTGATGATGGTGATGATGGTGATGGTGATGGTGATGATGGTGCTGTCATGGGGATGATGGTGATGGTGATGATGGTGATGATGGTGATGGTGATGGTGATGATGGTGCTGTCATGGGGATGATGGTGATGGTGATGATGGTGATGATGGTGATGGTGATGGTGATGATGGTGCTGTCATGGGGATGATGGTGATGGTGATGATGGTGATGATGGTGGTGATGGTGATGGTGAAGATGATGATGGTGACGATGGTCTTGATGGTGAGGATAATGGTCGTGATGACCTACATGTGTGTGTGCATATGTGTTTTGTTTGCCAGGCGATGATTGACACATGTATTAGCATATCTGCATGTGCTGGCTATGCCTTTAGAACTAGCTTTTAGAGGAGGTCCCAGAACTGCAGAACGACCCTCTCAAGGGTGCATGTGCCGGGCGTTTTCTGGTACAAACCCACCGCCCACAGCCCCAGCACTGACTCCTCCGTGACGGGGCCGCCCCTCCTAAGGCGAAGGCCGCCGCGTTGTTCACATTTAAAAACCACTGGGCACAGCGCTGCTCCCGCACGGCGGCCTCCGGGCCTCGGGTGCTGTCGGGAGCCGAGGCAGGTGCCAGCGGCTTGGCCGGCCTCCCGGACGCTGCCATTTTTCTTCATTTCCTGGGAGCCGAGCGCGCTGTTGAAACAAGCGCTCCTGCCTAATGTGTCAACACGGCAGGAACGGATGCGGTAAACCAGGGATTGTTAGAAGGAGCCAGAGACGCATATTGATGTTTCCTCATTAAGGCTGTCAGTCTCGCCGAGCACCTGCTAGAGATGCAAGGCTGTGCTCAGCTCCCTCGTTGCAAACCGGTCTCTGAAGGTAAATACCTGTCTGGGGCCAGGACACGAGGTGACGGCGTTGAGACTCTGCAGGGCCTGGTCCGGGCCCTGCGCCCGGGCTCGTGGCGGGGGAGTCGGGGATACGCACCGCGTTCGTTCTCTAGTGAAGACCCTTCTTCCTGCATAGGCGCTGGGTCTGATGGCAGCTTGAGTGGCCGCAGGGCCTTCCGAAGGGGCCAGGGTGGCATCGTACTTGACCTCTGAGCAGCATTGGACCCAGGCAATGGCTCCTCCTTCTTGGAAAAATGTCCATCAGGCCCGGCCGGGGTGGCTCTGTGGCTGAGCGTCCACCTAGGAACCAGGCGGTCACGGTTCGATTCCCGGTCAGGGCACACGCCCGGGTGGCGGGCTCCATCCCCAATAGAGGTCACGCAGGAGGCAGCCGATGGGTGTGCTCTCTCATCAATGTTTTTCTTTCTCTTTCTTCCTCTCCCTCTCCCTTTCTCTCTCTCTCTAAAAAAGAAAAAATGGACACCCTGGCTCGTTTGGCTCAGTGGATAGAGCGTCCTCCTGCGGACTGAAGGGTCCGGGTTTGATTCCAGTCAAGGGCACAGGCCTGGGTTGTGGGCTCCATCCCCAGTGGGGGGCGTGCAGGAGGCAGCCGATCCCTGATTCTCTCTCATCATGGATGTTTCTCTATCTCTCTCCTTCCCCCTTCCTCTCTGAAATCAATAAAAAATACATTAAAAATAAAAAAAGAAGAAGAAATGGACATTTTAAAATCTCCGACGCATCGTTATTTCCCAGCGACCACGCCGACGCCCCACGTTTGCACATCACCCCCCCCCCCCCCCCCCCAGACATGGAGGCAGGCACGTCCCCACCTGGAAAGGCCAGACGATGCTGCGAAGCCTCTCATCTGTCTTGCTTCTTCCACACGCTTCACCCAGAGCCATAACTCACACTCTTATGCCATGGAGTGTCTCCGAGCCATTCTTTATCGTCAGCGGCGAAACCCCGGGCCCCCGCGGAGGGAGGCGAGAACGGGGACCGCGAAAGCCACTCATCACAGCCGGTGGGACCTGCGCGGACGCCAGTGACAGATGAGGCCTCGCGGTGCCCCTGGTTGGACGGCGACTTCCTCCTCAAAGGCTTCCGTCCCCTGCATCGTGCTGCTTATCGAGGGAGAACTCCTTGGTGTGTGTGTGTGTGTGTGTGTGTGTGTGTGTGTGTGTGTGTTTTATATATTTGTATTGATTTCAGAGAGGAAGGGAGAGGGAGCGAGAGGGAAAGAAATACCAATAATGAGAGAGAATCGTGGACCGGCTGCCTCCTGCACGCCCCACACTGGGGATCGAGCCCGCGACCCGGGCACATGCCCTGACCGGGAATCCAACCCCAGCTCCTTCAGTCCACAGGCCACGCTCTATCCACTGAGCCACACCAGCCAGAGTGGAAATCAGTTTTTGATTTATTGACGTCAGGGGCGGCGGGGCTGGAATTGCAGCCAGGCGAAGGCGCGGCCTCCAACGACGGTCGATCACTGGGGGGACATCCATCAGAGGCGTCTCCTGGCGCCTCCCTGTCCAGGTGATGGACCGCCCCAACCCCGGGAAGGGCCCCTGACTCGCGCCCCAGCGGCCCTGCCTGCCACGCTGATGGATGGGGCGGGCGGCACCGCTCAGGACGAGGCACACACACAGCGACGTTGGCCTTTTTGAAACGCCTGGAGCCCATGGTTTCCTCAGAAAACAGAGAGCATAGGAAATGTGGAGCCAAGAGCCCACTAACTCAGCGTCCATCCCAAAGCGCCTTCGCGATGCCCGGCACCTGAGCGCTCCTCCACGGTGGATGGTCAGCGGGTGAGGAAAATGGCGCAACTCTTTCTATTTATGACACAGGGTAGACCAGCAGGCCCCACAGCCATGAGCAGTCGATAGAAAATTCCAACCTGGAGGTGCAGGGGCAGATTCTGATTGGATGGAATGAGTAGATAGTCCGTTTGGTTTTAAATGATTAAAAACAAAAACCAACATGGCCCTGCCAGTGTGGCTCAGTGGGTTGAGTGTCATCAGCAAGTTTAATCCCCAGTCAGGGTGCATAAGGGAGGCAACCAATCAATGTTCCTCTCCTCTCTCTCTCTCTCTCTCCCCCCCTCCTTCTGCTCTTTCTAAAAATCAATAAAAACATATTTTTTGAAAATCAATATCTATGTGCTAAAACCTATGGTTTATCAGATGTGTCCTAAAAGAAAATTAGATTTTAAGAAACCCCACTAATAGAACCCAAATCTAACCGAGTTAACAAGCAGAGTTAAAAAGAGCGTGTTATAATTTAAAGTTTTCTTTCATTAAGTTAATAAGGCAGTTCCACTGAATAGTTTTAATTTTCAGAAAATTAATTTAAACCAAATTATCTCACTTAACGAGGCGTAATAATAGGATCGGGCCCATAGCGCTCTCTTCAGAGTATTTGTACAACTGCCTGTGGTGTCTGTGAGGTGCTGAGTCCGGGCTATGATATCATTGTCGCTTTATTTTCATTTTGTTGTAAAGTTCAGAGACAAGTTGTTCTGAGCCCGTGGGGAGCTTTTCGACGCCTGGGCTGTTTTCAGCAGAACCCAGAAACAAGCGGCTTCGGTCCACTCTGCCACCTTAATTTTCTATTTTTAATTTAAAAAATATATTTTTGTTTTCAGAGAGGAAGGGAGAGGGAGCAAGAGATAGAAACATCAATGATGAGAGAGGATCATTGACCGGCTGCCTCCTGCATGGTCCACACTGGGGATCGAGCCCACAACCCGGGCCTGTGCCCTGACTGGGAATCGAACCCGGGACCCTTCAGTCCACAGGCCAGGGCTCTATACACTGAACCACACCGCCTGGAACCCACACACAGCTGCTTGGAGGGGTGGGTTCTTGGGAAGGTCTGTGGTCTGTGCTGATGTGGAGGACTCCATGCTGGGGGGTGGGGTGA